GCATCAGCCACCGTGCCCAGCCGCCATCATGCCATTTTCAAATATCATACTTCACACACCCCAGCAGCCTGCATACCCTCTGTCAGCAGAGCATACCCTGCCAGGCAGAGCTGAGCTAAAATAGCAAACATCAGACCCACACTGAAAGACAGCCTGTGTTCTCAGGCCCAGTGTGCTGGGATTTCGTCTTGGCATTGAAAGTGAAGTGTGGCAAGAATTCCAACTGCAGCTGCAGAAAGCAGCAGCCCTTCCGGAGCCAAGAGAGTCAGCGGCCCAGACAGTCAGACGGAACCTTCAGACTCCATTTTTTGTGTGTATGAGATGGAGTCTCACTCTGTTTTTCAGGCTGCAGTGCAGTGGTGCAATCTCGGCTCACTGCGACCTCCACCTCCTGTCTTCAAGCAGTTCTCCTGCTTCAGCCTCCCAAGTAGCTAGGATGATAGGCACCTGCCACCACGCAAAGCTAACTTTTGTATTTTCAGTAGAGATGGAGTTTCACTGTGTTGACCAGGCTGGTCTCGAACTCCTGACCTCAAGTGATCCACCCGCCTCAGCTTCCCAAAGTGCTGGGATTACAGGGATGCCAAACCTTCGGAGTCTTATCACCTACCTACTATCTCTTGCCACCACCGCTGCTCACCTGGATGCTGTGGCAGCCTGGCCTCTTGATCTCCCTGCTTCTGCCCTTGCCCAGACTCCCGACACCACCAATCTGTCTTCACAGCAGCCAAAGACATCCCATTAAACCTAATGCAGACCGTGCCACTCCTCTGCTCAAAGCCCTCCAAAGGTGCCCCATTCCGCCAGAATAAAAGAACAGTCCATGTCTTCACTGCGGTCATGAGGCCTTACCCCCACCACCCTTCATGACGCACCCCGTGTCTCCCCTTCTCTCCGCTAGACCCACGCCGGCCCCAGCTCCTCTCCTCAAGCACGCCAGCATTGCTCTGGGGCCCTCATGGCTCTGCACCTGCTCACCCCTCTGCCGGGACCACTCTTCCCAGCCTCCTGGTGGGCCTATTCCCTCACCTCCTGCAAATCTTTCCTCAAATGTCACCTCAGCAAAGAGCTCCTTCTCACCACCACAGCTGCCACGAAGCCACCTAGCCCTCTTCCCAGCACTGTTTTGATAGCAGCTGTCAGCTTCCGACAGTCAACTCCATTTAAGTGTGTTATTTATACCCTGCTCCCCCTGCACTGTAAGCTCCGGGAGAGCAAAGATCCGGGCCGATGTTGTTCACTAGCATCATCTCCGGCAGCCAGGGCCGTCCCTAACACACGCTGCGGGCTGAATACTTATTGGCTGGATCAGCGAATCATCAAACTCTCAACAGTGGTCTAAGAAGCCCATCACTATTCTCATCAAAGAGAATTGTGCTAAGCCAAAGAAATCTCCCCATTTGCCATAGCTGCCTAAACCACATGCAACCCCTTCATGCTACAGATACAGAGACGGATGGCCCCAGGCCAGGCACGGTGACTCACGCCTGTAATCCCAGCACTTTGGGAGGCTGAGGCGCGGTGGATCACAAGGTCAAGAGATCGAGACCATCCTGGTCAACATGGTGAAACCCCACCTCTACTAAAAATACAAAAAAGTGGCACGGGCCTGTAGTCCCAGCTGCTCGGGAGGCTGAGGAAGGAGAATTGCCTGAACCCAGGAGGCAGAGGTTGCGGTGAGCCGAGGTTGCACCATTGCACTCCAGCCTGGGTAACAAGAGCGAAACTCCGTCTCAAAAAAAAAAAAAAAAAGAAAGAAACTGATGGCCCCAGAGGTAACCTGGTGAAGACCGCTACTGGAAAAAGAAGGCCAGAATCTAGACCACCCAACTCCTAGACAGAGGTCTATCTACCAGACCACACACCCTGACTCAACCAGAAACAAAGTTTCTAGGAAAGCATCAGCCAAATACGCAACCGAGGACCAGGGTGCGCGTGGACCGGGGTCTACCAGCAAGACCACCTCTCCTGCGGTGTGGGACCCTGGCCAAACCACTCCCTCTCCAGGATAATCTGGAAGACAGTTTGGAATAAACACCACTTAGCCATACTGACAATGCAAGAATGAGAAGGACACATTTCTTAAACTTGTGGATCTCACTGATGAAAACAAGCACATATCAGGAAGACCAGTCGGGAGTTCGAGACCAGCCTGGCCAACATGGTGAAATCCTGTCTCTAATAAAAATACCAAAAAAAAAAAAAAATTAGCCAGGTATGGCAGTGGGCTCCTGTAATAACAGCCACTTAGGAGGCTGAAGGAGAAGAATTGCTTGAACACGGGAGGCAGAGACTGCAGTGAGCCGAGATCACACAGGTGCACTCCAGCCTGGGTGACAGTGTGAGACTCTGTGTCAAAAAAAAAAAAAAAAAAAAAATAGGAAAACAACCATGGTAAACAACTGAAAGAGCTGGCAAAACCACAGCAACCTGGCTAGGATGTCCACCAGCACTGTGCTTGTGCGGGTGAAGATTAAAAAGACACTCAGCTGGTAGATACCGCCACCGTGAGGAAAACGGGCATCCCTTTGCGACTCCTCCTTCAGGGAAGAGTTCCAGCCTGCCCCCTGAAAAAGCAGCACTGCCAGGGACCTGAGCCATAGGATGGACAGGGGACACAGAGGCTTCACAGGCCTTCCTGAGGCACCCAACCTCTCCTCCTTCTCCTGCCCTCCTGGGCCACAGCGTTGAACAACCCTCCGAGACTCCGGCTGCACAAAGGCGCTGTGGAAACTGCTCTCAGAAGTGCCTAAGACACAGAACAGCATCGAAGTCAGAGGGAAAGCAGAGTCTGTCTTCGGTAATTCAGGTTCACACAGAAGAAAGTTAGAGACTGTACTAGTCTCCTGCGGCTGCCGTAACAAACTACCACAAGCTGAATGGCTGAAAACAACACTTTCATTCTCCCTCAGTTTTCAAGGCCGGAAGCCCCAATCAAGCGGTGGTCAGCAGGGCTGTGCTCTGTGAAGCCTACGGGCGAGCGCCCTTCCTTGCCTCTCCTAGCGTCTGGTGGCTGCCAGCTATCCCCAGCGTTCGCTGGTTTGTGAATGCACTATTCCAATCTCCGTTTCTGTCTCCACAGGCCCATTTCCCTGTGTCTCTCTGTGTCCAGATTTCCACCCTCTTATAAAAATACTAGTCTTTAAACTAGGGCCCAGCCTCATCCAGGATGACCTCAGTTTACCTCGATTCCTTGTGCAAACACCCTATTTCCAAATGTCACATCCCAGGGGTTCCATATGGACATAAATTTGGTGGCAAGAGGCAGGGGAGGGGGCACACACTATTCAACTCAGTGTAAGGACAAATTACCAAGAGCCACAGCCTTCAATCCAAAGGTTGAGTCGCCATTGAAACTCCACACAGCAGCTGTGTTATTCTTATATCTCAGTTGATTAAGAATTAGAGTTTAGACTGATGGGGAATCGAGACCTCAAGACCTAAAAGTAACACATTTTAACAGTTACACCAACAGGGGGCTCCTCTTCCCTGCACTCTATGTTGGACAGCATGTGTTCCTGTCACTACCAGGACCTCCTGTCCACCACCATTCCAGAATCTTCACTCATCTTGGACCCTGACACTGGTTTTGTTGAAAGCTCTTATTGTTCTCGAAACTCCACAGTCCGCTGGAGTCAAACAGGGTCTCTGGCCACCTTTGACGACGCCCTTCATTCTCAAAGTCACTGTCTCAGCAGTCAGTAACTCACTCTGCTAACTTCCAGATCACTCTTAAAAGTAAACTTTTTTTTTTTTTGAGACTGAGTTTCACTCTTGTTGTCCAGGCTGGATTGCAATGGCGTGATCTCGGCTCACCACAACCTCCACCACCCGGATTCAAGCCATTCTCCTGCCTCAGCCTCCCAAGTAGCTGGGATTACAGGCATGCGCCACCACGCCCAGCTAATTTTGTATTTTTAGTGGAGGCTTGGTTTCTCCATATTGGTCAGGTTTCTCCATGTTGGTCAGCCTGGTCTCAAACTCCCAACCTCAGGTGATCTGCCCGCCTCGGCCTCCCAAGGTGCTGGAATTACAGGTATGAGCTACTACACCAGGCCAAAAGTAAACTTCTCTAACTAGATGCAATAAATTGCAAAGTTCATCGTTCAAACAGTAGTATTTATTATGAAATAGGAGTACAAACCATTTCACTGTGTTTATGAAGGACTCTACTCAGACTCATTTTAATATCACGATTCATAATTTTCAGCATCCCAGGCTTCAGCTTTGGAACAAAACAATGTTTTGAAATCTTGACGTTTGCTTATCTCTGATCTGTTTTCCCCAGTGGCTGATGTTATCCTAGGTACTCTTCACGAAACCTCTCATTCCCTAGGGCCCTGGCCAGAGCTTAGCACCACGGCAATCAGACAAGAACTCTGGAGCTTTCGAGCTGTAAGCATCTAGAGTGTACCCAGGTCATTTCAAGCACTTAATTTAAAAAACAAAAAATGCTTCTTGCTAACGCAGTATAAAGGTCGGTTTTGAGACCAACAAGCGGAAACATGGAAACTCACAGGGAAACTCTCCCGCGCTCAAGGCAAGAGCAGCAGCCCACAAGAGACCAGAGGCAAATCAAGTGGGTCAAAAGCACCACGCCCCCTGCAGAAACCGATCTCCCCAGCAGGCACGGCCTCGGCCCGGCCAGCTTCCGGACTCCACCAAACTTCACAGCATGACCCGAATCAGTTCCTACCAGCCTCCCCAGGGAGCCCAGGAGTTTCTCGGAAAGGAGCCTGCCAGTGTCAGGAAAAATGCTGACAGCTCCTCCGCGTCCTTGCAAGCCTCGCTCCTACGTGCAGCCACTGTCACCCCCAAACCCCACGCTCACACCTCCGAGTCCCCCAGCGCCCGTCACACCACGCAGCACTCTGCTCAGAGTCCAAGTTGCCCTCTCCAGACCCCCGACTCCACCACCCGCAGCCCAGGAGGCAAACGCGGCCACCTGACCTCTGACCCCTGACCCCTGACCCCGACCTGGCCCACCCCGTCACACCCACCTGCCCGGGAGCTTGGTGTTGCTGCGCTTCCAGAACTGCTTCCTCGCCCCGTCGCTGGCCATGGCCCCTCCTCATCCCTCAGACCCGCGGCCCAGACACTCCGAGTGCGGCCGGCCCTCCCCTAGCGGCCCTTTCCTGTGCCCCGGGTGGCCCCTTACTGGACCCGGGACTCCGGAGCGTAGAGCCGAAAGACTCTTCCGCCTCCTTCCGGAAGTTGTGCCTGCACTCTCCCGGAAGTCCCGCCTAAGTCCCAGGTGGCGTGTGACGCAGGGCGCCGAACGCCTGACGGCATTAAAGGGCGACGCCGCGCGACGCGCGCGTTACGCCACAGGCATCGCGGAGGAGGAGGAGGTAGTTCTTTCCAATGTTTGGTTGAGTTTGGGGCTCCCTGCTCGCTCAGCCGGATCTCGGAGCGCGTCCCGAGCCGGCCCAGAACGGAATGAAGCCAGACACGCCGTTCCCGGCCCAGCAGCGGCAGGATTACCCAGCACTGAGTGAGGGGCAGTAGGTACCACGGGGGTGAAATACTTGCAGTGCGGTGAGGTGAGAGGCATAACCGCGGAGCGTATTCGAGCGAGTGAGAGAGAAAAGGGATTAGGCCGGGCTTGAAGGGAGGAGAGTGCTTGAGCGCCGAAGGCGAGGAGGATTGATTTCCCTGGCCGGTATCTCGTGCTTGAAACCTGGCTAGTCCGGAGTAGATGTGCTTTACGTGTAAAATAGAGGATTCCAAAGACTTTGTATAAAATATCAGTAATTTGTATATTGCCTACATGTTAGATAACATTTTTAATGTATTGCGTTAAATAAAATGAATTGTTAAAATTATTTTTACATTTCTTTTTACTTTTTTTTTTAACTCTTTTTTTTTTTTTTTCCCCCGGGTGGTAATGAGAGTGGGGTGTCTTGCTGTGTTACTCGGGCTAGTCTCGAATTCCTGCCCTCTTGCGATCCCCCTGCCTCAGCCTCCCCAGTAGTTGGAACTACAGGTGCACACGTTATGCCTAGATCTTTTTACTTTTGTGTGTGTGTGTGTGTGTGTGTGTGTGCGCGCGCGCGCGCGCGGAAAACAAGTAAAAACCCGTATCTGATTTGCATTACATTTCTGTGCGTCTTAGAACAAAAATCGAAGGCTCAGGGACCGTCAGACTGGAGCTTTAGTGTGTTTGGAGTTCCTGCCAGTTCTCTTTTAAAACCAAAATACGCTAAGACATGTTTTGTGATGATGAGTTTCCCACGCCTCTTCGCTTACTGGTAAGTGACCTCGACTTAGCGCTTCCTGTGTGCAAGGTGTCCTGCTCTCCTGGGATCCTGTAGATCCTAGCAGAGCTCAGAAGGCACCAGAGTCTCCTCCTGACATGTAGCCCTGACAGCCTCGGACAGTGCTGTCCCGTGCAGACAACACTGAGGACAATGGCGGTTCTTTTTAGCTCAGTCTGGCTTATTGCAAGAATCAGTGAGCGAGGTGACAGCAGGATTAACATGCTAGAAGGGGAGAGGAAGGAACAGCTGTGAAACAATTGACAGAGGAAAAATTGGCAGCACTTAGTGACTGGTTACGCCTGAGATCCGGATGCTCTTTAGCGCTTACTGTATACTTGGCCACCTAACTGTTTTCAGGCAAAAGAATGAGGCTGAGATTGACTTGAGGGCTTCAAAACCAGCTAAGCAAAGGATTTCTAGGATCATGACAGAAACATTAAGATGGAGAAAGAGAGTCTGAGTAGAAGGCCAGTTTTGAAAGCCAAAGTAATATGGATGTTGGAGTCTAGATGTGGAACCTAGGAATTGGGACAGATTCTCAAATCTCAGAGGTAGTGAGTGGAACCTTTCTTATTCATTGTTACAAGTATTGAGCAGCAATGCAAGTTAAAACTAAGGATGCACCATGTTACACTTAACAGGTTGGCAAAAATGTAAAAATCTGTCTTGCCCAAACTTGGTAAGGATGTGGATTTGTGAGCAGAGCAGAACTCTCGCACTGCCAGTGGGGTGTACGTTCATTCAGTAACTTTGGGTGGCTACTTAGCGATTTCTGGCGGAGATACTCTGTAACTTGGCAAGTCTACTCTTGGTATGTGCTCTAGAGTACCTTGTCTGCGTGCAAAGACAAGAAGTTTCAATAATGCAACGTTGCTTCTGGTGGTAGTCGGGGTCTGGGGAGAAGCAACCAAAATGCCATGTATGGCAGAATTGGTAAATTACAGTTACGCAGTCAAATACCGTAAGTTAGTAAAAATGAATAAATTAGTTGCATACTTCAACATAAATAAATTTCACAAACTGGGTGGGGTTTTTTTGTTTTTGTTTTTGAGATAGGGCTCACTATGTTGCCCAAGCTGGCTGCAAACTCGTGGGCTCAGGTGACCCTCCTGAATGGCTGAGCACAGAAGGAAGCACTGCTGCACCCAGCTCCACAGTGTTGAAAAGTTGCCTATGAGTCCACATGGTATGAGACCATTTAGTACTATTTTCTTTTCAAGGATGAGAATGAGGCCAGGTGTGGTGGCTCATGCCTGTAATCGCAGCACTTCAGGAGGCTGAGGCAGGAGGATCCCTTGAGCCCAGGAGTTTGAGGCTTGGGTGAGCTATGATCGTTTGATCATGCCACTGCACTCCAGCCTTGGCAATAGTGCAAAACCTTATCTCAAAAAAAAAAAAAGGGAATGGTAAAAGATACATTCAGGAGAGTGATTGCCTATAGATATTAGTGGGGACTGTGATCAGTAAGGAATTCATATTCATAGAGGATCAATTGTGCTATTATGCTTTGCTTCTTAAGGCAGATGGGATATATTCAGGTATTTGTTTGTTTTTGTTTTTTTTTTAATTGAGACAGAGTTTCGCTCTTGTTACCCAGGCTGGAGTGCAATAGCACGATCTCGGCTCACCGCAACCTCCGCCTCCTGGGTTCAGGCAATTCTCCTGCCTCAGCCTCCTGAGTAGCTGGGATTACAGGCACGCACCACCATGCCCAGCTAATTTTTGTATTTTTAGTAGAGACGGGGTTTCACCATGTTGACCAGGATGGTCTCGATCTCTTGACCTCGTTATCCACCCGCCTCGGCCTCCCAAAGTGCTGAGATTACAGGCGTGAGCCACCGCGCCCGGCCTGTTATATTCTTTATGAGTTTTTACGTGTATAAAATGTTTCATAATACATTAAAATATAATTATTGAGCTCAAACTGCTATGCGCAGAGCCACGCTGAACTGTTGTGAGGAAAGACGGAAGTGCAGCCTGCCAGGCACAGTGGCTCACACCTATAATCCCAGCACTTTGGGAGGCTGAGGTGAGAGGATCGCTTGAGACCCGGAGAGCAACACTAGCCTGGGCAACACAGGGAGACCCCGTCTCTACAAAACTTTGTTTATTTTAATTTAGCCAGGCATAGTGAGAACTCTGTCCTAGCTACTTGGGAGACTGAGGCAGGAGGACCACGTGAGCCCAGAAGCTCAACATGGCTGTGAGCTGGGATCACAGCACTGCACACTGGCCTAGACAACAGAGTGAGACCCAGTCTCAAAAAAATTACAATAGTATTTCAGGCTGGCTGGATTTGCGATGCCGTTTGTGTTCCTCAGGAAGTGTTTTCTGCCTTCTCTGCTTTCAGATGGCCTGCTTCAGGCTTAGAATATCTCTCACAGGGCTTGACTGAGTGAGCCACCACACTCTCACAGGGTAGGTTCTCCCTGCTAAGTTTCCTGGTGCTGCACTCTCCACGGGCAGTGAGCCTGTGCCCCAGAGTAAGAAGCTGACAGTTCTATCCGTATTCGTTTCCTAAGGCTGCTGGGAGCAGAGTGCTACCGACTTGGTGGCTGAAAACAATACACATTTACTCTCTGACAGATCTGGAGGTCAGAGTCCAAAATCCACTTCACGGGGCTAAAGTCACAGTGTCGGCAAGGCTGCCCCCTGGAGCTTCTAGCGGAGAGTCCGTTTCTTACCTTTTCAGCCTCTAGAGGGCACTTGCATGTCTTGGCCTATGCCCCCTCCTCTGTCTGGAAAGCACATCACCCATCTCTACCGCCATCATCACACCATCTTCTCTCCCTTCAACTCCTCCTGAATCCCTCTTAAGAGGACCCCTGACCTCACATCAGGCCCACGGGATAATCCAATCCAGGACAGTCTCCTCCATCACAGGGTCCTTAGCTTAACCACAGCTGCAAACTGCCTTTGGTCATTTAAGGTAACATCTGCAGGTCCCGGGGTTAAGACATGCTGTATCTTCAAGGGGGTCATTATTCAGCCTGCCGCAATAATTCATGGCATATAGAAAGCTCCCCAGTTTTGCACCACAAGAGGCAGGAGTCCTCTTCACTGCCCTCTTCCTCAACTCCTTTCAGCCATTTTGAAATTCTAGGGTCTGTCACTAGCAACCTGCCACTTCCTGACACTAAATTCTGCATGAGTTAGGGTGCTGTTGGTTGCGAGAATTCCGAAGTTCAGCTCGGATTAGCTTGTGCTATAAAGGGAATTGGGTTATGCAGTTGAAACGGCCTGGAAGCAGCTCAGAGTTTGGAGAAGTGCTGATACTGCAGCTCTACAGTGACTCAGGGGCCTGTCTCCTTCCGTCTGTCTCATGTCTGTGTCAAGGACGGCTTCCCCTTGAGGTCACAGGATGCCTCTGTTGGGCCACTGGGATCATGTACTTACGTCTAGTCAGGATGCTAGTAAGCAGAAATACTGTGAACTGCTGTCAGTCCCTGGGAGGGGAGCACTCTTAAACACCTCACCAATTTCTGCTCAGGCTCCTAAGGCTGGCAGGAGGCTTTGCACAAACCCGGCAGCCAGAGTTCTGCAGGCGTTCCTGACTATGGCAGGGGCTCAGAGCTGATCAAGCTGCCACAGCAGTCATACCTCCACCCCCTGCATTCTTCATGTCTAGCGTGGTAAAACAACACCTGCACAACATGTCAGGCAAACAGCTTTATTATTCACGGAGAGGCCACAAACATCAACACAAGCCTGGGATCCATGGCGAGCCGGTTCACCAGCATTCAGGTGCGCTACCCAGGGCCCTGGAGTGCATGTGCCCCAACTTCACACCTCAGCTGAGGGACTTTAAAAGCATTCCACTCTGGGTTCTATACCCTAGACGCCACTGGGTCCCTGGACTATAGCATTTCAGGACATCCTGCTGCAGGGGAGATGGGCACAAAGCCTGGGCTGCTCGGGACAGCTCCACCTTACCTCAGGATGCGGCATCCTCTGTAAGCAAGAGGGGGAAG